CTGGATCCAGCTCTTCTTTTCCTTCCTCTCTAACTCTCTGTTGTCTCTCTGTTGGCATTATTGATAGATACACTCTTCACGTGGTGGGAAAGCTTGCTCCTAGCAGTTTCAAGATATAGATAATCTTTTTTTTTAAAGATTTTATTTATTTATTTATTAGAGAGAGAGCACACATGTGTGCATGAGTGGGGGGAGGGGCAGAGGGAAAGGGAAAGACTTTCAAGCAGACTCCCTACTGAGTGCTGAGTCTGACTTGGGGCGTGATCTTGCAACCCTAAGATCATGACCTGAGCTGAAACCAAGAGTCAGATGCTTAACTGACAGAGCCACCCAGGTACCCCTCTTACGGATATTCTTACGGATTTTGATTCATAAGAAAGAAAATTCCTGGGCGCCTGGGTGGCTCATTCGGTTAAGCGGCTGCCTTCGGCTCAGGTCATGATCCCAGGGTCCTGGGATCGAGTCCCGCATCTGGCTCCCTGCTCGGCGGGAAGCCTGCTTCTCCCTCTCCCTCTGCCTGCCTCTCTGCCTACTTGTGCTCTCTATCTCTATGTCAAATAAATAAATTTAAAAAATCTTAAAAAAAAAGAAAGAAAATTCCTATCATCAAATGTTCATATATAAATCTCAGGAACGACTCTGTTTGGCCCTGCTTGAATGATCTGCCCAATCCTGAACTGATCACTGTGACCAGCATGGGTTAAGTGGTCACTTCATGGGGCAGTTAAAACCTGGCAGTTGACAGCACTAAATGGATAAATGGCAGAGTACATGTGTATATAATTGGGGAAGTTCTCTAAAGGAAAATGAAGCTGCTGTTACTAGAAGAAAGAAACATAGAGACAAAGCAGCAGATGTCTACTCTAGGACACAACACCCTCATGTATTATTTATGGTCTCTGTGGGTAAAGGGCTAACAAAACCCCTTTTGCTTCTGCATGGGAATTTAAACTTTGGTTAGCTTTTTGGCTCTGTGTCACTGCAAACAAGATAAGCATTGCCTGTGATAAAAATGACCCCTAATTAGGAAATTGCATTTGCATCGGGCTCCCTGCTCAGCGGGGAGCCTGCTTCTCCCTCTCCCACTCCCCCTGCTTGTGTTCCTGCTCTCGCTATCTCTCTCTCTCTGTCAAATAAATAAATAAATCTATCTTAAAAAAAAGAAAAAAAAGGAATTGATTGACTCACTCAAATACTTCATGCACAGGTAACTTCAGGTATGTCTGAATCCAGCAGCGCCCATGATGTCAGCAGGGCTCTTGTCTCTTTTTGCATTTTTCATGTGTGCTTGCCATTGTGCTGGCTTCATTCTTAGGTGGGTTCTTCTTGTCAGGTGACAAAGAGGGCTGATGACTGCTTAGCCGATGACTCTAGATACAAACAGAATATGCCAGAAAAATATCCCATAGTTGACTCTGATTGGCGTAGCTTGGCGTGTGACCATCCCTGAGCCAAACAATGTGACCAAGGGATAGACTGTGGAAGAAGCAGGAGCCTGTGATAAACAGTTCTAGAAAAACAGGGCATAGGCTCCCAGGGGAAAATGTCACCACCAGTGCTCTTGTCTCCTGTTCCAGTGCATTAGCAATTTAAAAGGCCTTCTTCTACCATTTCTTGTCACTTGCCTTCCCACCCACAAACACACACTCATACTGAGTTATGTACCCCCACATATCACCAGCTCTCAGTTACTGCATTTCATTATAATTACTTGCTCATGTGTCCATCTTCCCTGTTGGACTCAGAGCTTCTTGTTGCTGAGCACAATATCTGGCATATTCATGGATGCTCAATAATTGTGGAACAAATAAGTAAATAATTTATAAGGGTGTGTGACTAAATGTTTTCATGTAGTGTATAATCATGTCTCTCACACATCCTTTTGTGTGATTTTTTTAAATATAAACCTTTATCCATTGTCACCATTTGCAGATATTTGTATAAGCCAGACACAACAATTTTTGGTCTGTCATTTCCAAAGTGTTGTTCAGGGATCAAGACTAAATTCTGTTTTTCAATTAGATGTCTAATAACTTGCAGAAAATCAGAAAACTGGGGGCCCAAGCAATCCGTTTCTTCTCTTTCCACTTCCTTAGTGAATTCATGAGAATGATGATGAGAGCCAAGCCTTCCAGGGTTGAAGGTTGGGGATGTAGGCCTCATTGGCAAACATGTCTGGCTCAAGAATAATGAATTAGGAAAAATTTTTGTACTGCTTTGTTTCTCCAGCTTCCATAAATGTGTGAGTACAGAGTTCCATAGGGCTGATCCTTGTAGACATTTTTTTTTTTTTGCCATTATTATTTCAGCATTTTCCTTCCTTATCCTTCCTTTTTTTCCCAGTTAATGGGGAATCATGTGCTGTTTGTCTCAAGTTAACAGTCTCCAAGATCTTTCCATTACCCTGCATTAGCAGATCAGATAACAAATCTCAGATTTAGGAACCTTCTTATAAAGAGGCTTGTATCTTGTTTTCCACATTTCAAACATCTTGCTAAGCTTTTGGTTAATAACACACCAAGCCAATTTGTGAGTGTTTTCTTTAATTGAAGAAAATACTTCTGCCTCCATCTTGCCCCCCCCAACTTCCTTTTTCTTCTTTTAAATATCTGGAGTTAGAGGGGTGCCTTGTGGCTCATTTGGTTAAATGTCTGACTCTTGGTTTTGGCTCAGGTCATGATGTCAGGGTTGTGAGACAGCCCCACGTCGAGCCCTGCCTTGAGCCTTGAGTAGGGCTCCATGCTCAGCACAGAGTCTGCTTGAGATTGTCTCTCCCTCTCCCTTCCCCTCTGCCTCTCCCCCTGCTTGTGTATGTGTGAGCACTTTCTCGCTCAGATTAAATAAATAACATCTTCTAAAAAAATATCTTGAGTTTGAAAATTAAGTCTTCTGTGGGTCTTTCACTTTCTTGATGACATTGTGGCTATTGCAAATGGAGCCTTCAATGGCAGTGTGAAAAATTTAAGAAATTACCACAGTCAGAAAATTCTACATTTGAACTTTCCTCCCCAACAAATCACACCTAAACATCCTTATTAAGCTATGTTCTCTGGATGTTGCCTAATTTTTGCATTCCAATTCATATAGACCTGTTCTCAAGAGTATTCCTGTTGATTTTTGGTGAATGTTGGAGATAAATATATGAGCAAGCAAGGAAGGCCTAAAAAGAAGCAGTAGATAAAATTCCATGTCTGACTGAGCCATCTAAATATTAAGTCCTGGAGAATTTCTGCTTCAAACATTTTTATCAGTAAAGCAAGGCTTAATGTGTGATGTGCAGGTGCCTGAGACAGGATCTGGCACCTAATAGCTTCTCAATAAATAGTTGAGTGATAGAACTATTCAATAAACATGGAAAGTTACTGGACCATTTCCTTACACCACACACAAAAATAGACTCCAAATGGTTGAAAGACCTAAACGTGAGACAGGAGTCCATCAACATCCTAAA